ATGAAAAAGAAATGAATCTTAAATGTTTACGATAAAAAATAATAATAATAATATAATATAACATAGTTTTTTTTTTTTTATTTATTAGAGAATATACAATCTATACACAAAGGCATAATAAGAATATGTGCTACAACAATTAAAAAAAAATTATGATAAAAATGAATAGGGTGAGGGAAGGAACCATCCAGTAATCCTACTTCCTTTGAAAATATAACATTAGTCAGAGACAAAAATATAATGATAATAATAATAACTTCAAAGTGTCACTACTAATGAGTGGCTTCTTCCATCAATATTTTTTTTTGTTTTCTTTCCACGCTTTGTATGTAATTTACCAAATATTCTTATTATGCATTTTTTGTATAGATGATTTATCTCAATATAATATGTGTAAGTTTTTAAAAAAAAATAAAAATTAATAATAATTAGATATGATAATAATTGATAAAGTATAATCTTACTCACGCATTAGCAACGTCACATGTATGTATTAATATAGTGTTATATAAATCCTTAACCTTTCACTCATAATTTAAGTAAATAAAAAACGTGAGCTCTTCACAATCTATTGTCATTAATAGTTAATAAAAAGTAATTAATATATTATGTATTTAGGTATATAGTATTTAGCCATTTAGGTATACTAATATAATATAATACATTCGGTAATATTATATAATAATTTGAATTTGTATAGCCTTTATATACCTACCTATTGCATTTCCTTATAACTGATATACTTTACTCGTTACAAACATCACACACTATATGTAATAATAATATTATGTTCTATTAACAAATAATATAATGCATCGATGAGAGATGTTTGAGCTTACAGCCTTTTTGTCTCACATATCGTTATAAAATAGATATAAGTTTCAATCCCTTCTCCCTCCCTCCACCCTCAAACACCTAAAAATTCCTATTCCTACATAGTTGGTCCTATGTTTGTTTTGCACATAGATAAATACATATAATATTCGTTTTTACTAAAAGTGTACAGATAAATATCAGAGTGATTCAGTAGTTTATGATGTTTTATATTATTTCACTTATTATATAAATATGTAATATAGGTAACGTAAAACTGTATAGTTAACACACATTTAGGGTTGAGCTGATAAATTCTAGCCGCAAGGCTTTCGATACGAGATTCTCTCATTTATCTTATGCGTATTAAAAAAAATCCGCACATAATCTAAAACCGCCCGGTTTAACTGGTTTCTATTCATGTCAGTTTTTTTAAATAACTATAATAATAATAATAACGTTTTTAAAGCATCTGCTTTCGTGGACCAGTTTTTGAGGGTCCAGTTTGACCAGCATCCCTTCGAAAGGACATAATAGTCCCCCCATAGTTGTTCGAAGCATCGTCACTATTATCGGGTCAGTTGCACATAATCATCACAGATAGAATATTACAGTCGTCGAGAATAATGTTGTCGATAAAACCTCGAGTTTAGGTACATCACATGATTAATTTTACTCGGCACGGTCATTCAATTCAATCAAATAATTTTATGTCTATTCATAATTTTTTATGTTAGGTATTATTTTACAAATAAATTTATTTGACAGAAATTAATTCGATACATCAACAATTTTAAATTTTTCAAAAATAAATAAAAATATTTTATTTTATTACCTAGTATAAATAGTTACGAAATTACGAAATGTAAATTTTAAAATAATTAATAATTAACAATTATAATATTATATAAGATGCTCAATATCACAAATGGAATTCATTTTAGTAAGTACTGTTGTATATTTTGATGTATGAAAGAATTATTGAATATAGGTATGTAATAGCTTAAACATTATATAGACTTTAATTAACCAATTGTTTTAAATTAAATGATCTTTATTTTTTTTTTTTACGTTATTATAAAGAAATAAATAAGAACTTACGGTCCAAATAACAAAAATTTTGTGAAATTGATTATATTTATACACATTTTTATTATTTTATTCAAAATCGTGCCTGATTATACATAAGAATTAACAACGACTTACCTACATTATTTTTTAAACAGACTATGACGTATAAAACTGAAAAAAAAACACATCCAGTACACCTACCTACTTAATATGTAACATTTTGTTTCAGGGTGAAATTAAACAAAATATGTTTAATTTTCCATTAAAAGTTATAATTTTTTACAATTCAAAGAAAATAAGTATAAATTAAAATATTTTTTTCAAATTTTGTATGTTATAGTAAAATTAATGGGTTTTGGTTTTTTTTGGGGGAATAAAGAAATGTATACCTACTACGTGGTCATGCTAATACATTTATCAATTTGTTTCACATAATGTATATGAAAGAATAATATTGTATACAAAAAAAAATGAATTAGTGTATTTACATATTGTACCAACGAAACGGATTACATGTTCAATAGGAATAATGGCGCCTTAGACAGAAATTTAGTTTTGATGAACGTAATACCGACTGCTGCGAGCAGTATATGTTTGTGTGCACAGCAGTTAATTAAAAACGGGTTGGTTTTTTGGGGTGGGGAAAAATCTCCCCTTAAATAGAAGCTAAAGAATATATGTATGTATATTCATATACGAAATCATTGGTAGACAAAGCTGAAAGGATCTTTTGAAAAGAAAAACCTCCCCTGCCACAGGTTTTCAAAACGAAGTACAAAACTTCCAAATAGGGTAGGTCGTTAGATGTTAAGGTTGCTTAATACACGAGTAATGTATTACTAGCCTGTAGTGATTCGTTCGGCATGTTTATCAATCTACATACTCTGCACTATTATAACAGACCAACAAACAGCAAAAGCCCTTCAGAGTTCAAATAAAATTAATTAATGAACAGTAATTATTTTCATATCATATTTATACGTACGGTTAAACAATTTTATATATATAATATAAAAAAAAATGTATGAATACTACATACTTTTAAATAAAATCGAACTTTGAGGAATGTAGAAATTAGCTTTATGATATACGTTAGATATAGGTACTTAAACGTCCCAAACGATCTAAAAATCTTGTAATAATAACTATTATAGTACCTACTTAAAGTAAGAATTATATATCCACAACTATATTTTTTGCTTGTTTGACATATAATGTAAAATCAAGTAAAATATGAATAACAAATTAAATGTACTGCATAAATTTACAATTTCAAAATTAACTTAATCCTAGATAAAAATCTGTCAATTATCTCCTAGTTCATAAGTAATGAGTTTTTTTTTATAGAACAATGGTATTATTAATATTTTAATGGGTAAGATTTGAAAATATTTTAATGTATAACAAGTTTAACAACAAATACTTAACAAATGCATAGTGTTTGAATCAACGGGATAGTGTATGGGTCAAATCTTGATATATAACTTTACTACATCACTCTGATTTCTAAAGTTAACAGACGATCTTACAATTGGCTAAATAGAATCAAAAAGCTGTGTTCATGTTATTAAAGGGTTCAAAGTTCAAACTGGATACCAACTCGTAATAAGATAAATTAATAGAATGTTAAATAATGTTGGTACTAACCTACAATACGCGTTGATGACAATACATTCCAAGTAATTAAGTTAAAATGTTTTAATTTTATAATTTAAGAATATGTCAATATGCACCATTTGTTTTCTCTTTCCGACCCACCCGCTACATAGCAAATTTATGTTTATAAGAACAAACCCAGTGTTGTTACTTTTAATATTAGAGTGAATTCACCATAAACATCAAACTTTAACCTAAAAACATTACCTGTGACCCTAGATTGCCATTTTTGATGATATTTTAATTTGTATACTGCAATGTATAAGCTTTTGTAAATTGTAACCATTGACACTCTAATAACATACATAAAAACTAAAATATCATAAAATAGCCAAGGGCACATGCAATGTTCTTAACTCAAAGTCTGATAATAGGTGAATTCATTCTGATATTAAATGTAATAACACAGGGTTGGTTCTTAAACGTTAATTTGTAAAAAACTGTTAAAATATAAAATGATCGCATAAATAATCTCATTGATTAATGGTAGATATTTATTGATATTTTTTCGTTATTTCGCAGCTTTGATAGGAGAAGCTGTTAATTACATTATATTAACTACTATAATTTATTCGATTATTAGACTTTGGTAAATACTATAAAAGGTGAAGTAAATAATACTGTAAGAAAAATTACACTGGAAAATTGACAGTAAATTATTTTAAATATCATATTTTTGAATGATTGATAAATAAATAATTTAATTGTAAAAAGTTATAAATTAAATAATTGTGTTCTGGAATTAGTTTCAAGGTAAGTATCGAGGTTAATAGTACATACGTATTTATAAATTATAATCACTGATACACAATAGCGTACCTATAAAAATAATCAAGTCACAATAAATAAAATTGTCAATTAGTATTTATAGTATGCGCTAGTAATGCTTAACTACCGATTAGGTTAGGGTGACAATACGACCTGTTTTAAACAGGATTGTCCTTTATTTCGACTTTGTGTCCTGTTGTCCTGACAAACTTTTCTCAGGACGCTTTTTGTCCCGTAATTTAAAGTCCATCCCATATTAATCCCGTTTTTTGCCTTACTTAACTTATTTATTTTAAAGTTGTATGCATCGAATATGCAAAAGAATAAATAAATTTAACATATAATAATTCGTTTATCAAATAATTAAGTTGTTGCCTCATTAGTCATTATCACTATTTAATAATCCCAATCTTAAGTTGACTAATACGTGTATTTCTTACTAAACTTTATAAAATATGAAAACTTCAACTGTTTTATTATGTATACGCACATTAAGGAGTTCACCGTTTAGTTTTCTTAATACCTATTTCAAGAAGGTATAATACGGTAGCTGAGATTTCAATTTTAAACAATAAATTAGAACGATATTTAATTAGCCCGTAAACCAGTCGAAAGATGGCGGCCAGTGTTTACGGTCCGATTGTCTTGGCTTTGTAGTCTCTCATAATAATATCATAATATGTTCCGGTATAATGCAGCAGCAGATATCTCTTTGTGGTGTGTACTTTGAATCGTTGTTCGATTACATGGAACAGCGGTCTTCTAAGGAACGCTGGGGTCTCCTTGCATCATCAATGGGTCTTTTAGTCAAGGGAAGGGCCCTGCCGATTGATATGTTTTTCCTAACCCCTCCAGTCGCGATTATAGCTCCAACGCGACTATCGATTGGTCACTGACTTATTCCCCCAGTGTTCTTCTAACGGTGGTAAAAACATGGAAGCCTACCCCCACCCCATATATAGGCTGGTACACCAACCCTATTAATATTTTTTCACCCTTTTATTATTTGTTCCTAAAGGGTCTGTCAATATTATTAGTGTCGCACAATTTTGTTTGAGTTGTGCAAGACCGTTAAAACACCTGGATTTACACTAACGGTACCTATATTGGTAAGTTTTCTAATGTATTTTATTTCCCATTTCAATATTATAACATAAGAACCATAAAATTACTAAATTCTAATACTATTATTAAATCGATACAGACTTTCAACCTAAAAAATAATAATTCATCACGTTAGGTATACATGTGATGCGCACAAAACATTAATTACTCATCTTGATCAAATTATATATTATTTTATTTCCTTTATTCACAATGGTGAATTAAAAAACGGTTTTGTGTAAATTAAAGGGAAAATAAACAAAGAAAAGAATAAGAGTAAATCTTTTAGTATTATTCAAAATTTAGTAAATAAGGAAGGTACCTATACAATAATGGTGCAATTGAATTTCATGACGATTCTATCCAAAGTATGCAATAATTTAATTTATTTGTATTTGACTTGAAATTTGACTTTTACATTAAATTGACCTATAAATATTTCCAAATATTATGTTGGTGAATATTGAATAATTCATTTAAAATATAATAATAGTTTAGTTATGTTTAATTTCATAAATTACTGTATTTATAAATTATCCAGGAAAACACTTTCAATTCTTACTTTGAAGGAATATTTATACTAATTAAGTCTATTCAATCATAATTTAAATTTAAAACGATGAAACAAAATATAGACCATACGTGAAAACAATTAAGTGAATACGGGTTAAAAATATATAGTATTTATTAAATTGTAAAATAAATATAAGGTGTTATTTTATATTTACTATATTTATACTAAATTAAATTACACTGTCACTAATAAATCTAAAACATAGGAACATCATTTGTTCATTTTTATTACTTACCTATATTCATTATTATTAATATGGTTTATATATTTTAATATAAGTATTAAATATGTATAACATACGTATTACGTAGTATACATACTCTTTGGTTTTTTTAAGCTACCCAACTACCTACCCTTTAGGTTTATAATTTATATGTATATTCAAAATAGTAATCGTCCTTTTATGTACAACCACTAAAATGTTTTGAAACTGAACGCACTAAGACTTTATACAACGCTAATATTATACATGCATACATACTAATATACCTTTCATTATTTATATTGTACTAAGTTGACAATGGAATTACGATTATATTAAAGATAAATGTAGTTCAAACTTTAAATGTAGAAGATAAATAATATTATACAATATATAATGATATACCATATACAATACATTGTATATATTATATTATAGTACATATATAGGGCCTATATACGAGTATATAAAAATATTATAAATATTTTTTTAATTTTTTTATTATCTTTCAGGCTTCAGTATAAAACTATTATAGCTTTACAATTATAAGTATACAAGCAAGAAATTATTACAGTTAAAATTTGAAAGATAACATAGAATAATATTAGCAGAATATCAATACGGTAGAAAGTAACATAATATAGTATATTAGTAATAGCGGTAATAAAATAGTTGTATAGGTGTATAGTATGTGCTTGATATTTAACCGTTACGAGATACAATACATAGATAGTTAAGTATATAACATGGTATTAAATAGAACAATTAATATAATAATAAAAATGAAGGAAGTAAAATATTATGATAAGTATTTACGTATATCAAACCCAATTCATGTTGAAAATGTATGGCACTGATAAGTTATACCTAACCGATATCTGACATACCTACTGCTACAGATTTTAAATACACTATGGACACTGACATACCTACCTACTGTTTATGTAAAACAGCCGTAACGCCAGTAACAAGGGAAATTAAATTACCGACGTAGTTAAATAACATATAATATTTTTTATAAGTCATCTGATATTCTAATAAACCTTCTTCAATTACTAAAAAATAATTATTATTTTATCTGCCTTTTGGCTTTTAGATTTTTTTAAAGCAATGTCCGCCGCTTTATATAGGCCATTGTACTACACAATTTAACTTATAAATACTTACTAAGATTGTACATACATATGGTAAAGTTGGCGCATTACTCATATACAATAGAGGTACCTCTGATTTGAGATTATATCTTAAAATTAGTAGGTACTTTATATTTTTTTGAGGGGGTTTGCTCTTAATAAGAAATCAAGATGTGGTCTGACGTTGCACGAGGCTGGGTAGAGTGATTCTAAAATATGACAAGGGAATACTCTATTAGCTATTATTATAACATTTATAATATGGTTCTGCCCAAATAAATCAGATTCGGCGAGAATGAGTACATTATACCTACATATACAGGGTGTCCCGTGAGGATTTACTCATTGCGATATCTCCTGAAATAATGGAGATATCGTAATTATGTATTTTTATTAAGACTCGCAGAGGTAAGAACTACGAATATTTTATTTTTTAATTAAATTAAATTTTTTGGTAAAAAAGTTAAAAAAATTATTTTTTTATTTTTTTATTTTTGAAAAAATTGAAGATAGCCATTCTATAGAGTATATTTTTGTGAACATTTTGAGCTTTTAACATTTTATTTTCATTAATCTCATGATTTTTAATAATTTTTTTAGTTTATTAGTAAAACGTCAATAAACTGGTTTTTGTCCGGGCGGCGAGTCCCCCTCTACGGCTAATGAGTAAATCCTCACGGGACACCCTGTATATATATATATAATATATATATATATATATTAATTACTTTAAATTCCTAATAATTTCCTATTATGTTATTTCAAACAGTAATATAAAACTGAATTTATCTTATTATAATTAAGTGTCACCGGCTTATTTTATTTATATGAACGGTAGCCGTTTTTTTATTTAACATAAGTACCTACATTGTGATATATGATATTATAATACTTGAATAGTTAAATAATTCATAAATAAATACACAGTTTATATTATATTTATACAGGGGCGACGACGACAATATAAATAAAGATTATTTTTTGTTCACCGAACAATATTATTACCTTTTATTTTATTTTATTATTATAAAAGAAATTTTATTTACAATCTGTATTTATGTAATGCAATAAGCAAATTAGGTAAAATAAATACAAGAATAAGTTGAAGGACAGGAGAGGGAAAGACGCCCATTGGCGGGCACTCCGAATATTATTACATATACGTCCTATTGTATACTCATAATTTTCTTTATCCAAATAAAGTTCGGATGACAATATGTAATCGAGAACCTATAAAACGATACAATTAGGATATATATTGTTTTCTTGTCTTCGTATTATTATACCTATAATAAATTACAATAATATAATATATTTATCATATCATGTCGTAGGTATTTAATAACCTGTCACTAATCCGTTATACTATCGCATACGTTACATGTGACGTACACAGTCCAACCATAATATAATAATAATTATATTGATTAAATCATCGTCGTGAGCGTAAATTAATTTTCAGTGAACCTAAATACTCATTGAACACCTAAAGATGTCAGAGTCGTTTTATCGGTATACATATTATATACATTATAATAATATATACAATTCACTCGAGTCTACATATTATATACATATACAATATACATACAACAATATAAACACGGACGGCGCGGCGGTATTGCTATTGAAATGCGGGAAAGGCTATATTTCCCGGCGCGCACCCCTGCCGATGGTGGCGGAGTGCGGTCGCGGGGCGCGGCGGCGAGGGGATGTTCTTAAGTTCGGCAATGTCCAAGATTAAACTGTAGGTGACATCAGGGCAAGGGGGTGAGGCGGGCGCGTGTATCACGGCGGGTTAAGGAGTTTGTTAACGTTAAAGTGAACGCGAATAATTAAAGTTGCGGCGGTGTACACGGGAATGCCGAGCAATCAACCAGACGGGACGTCGGCGCGGCGCGAGCGGGGGGGAGGGGGCGGCGGCTCGCGCGCGCCGGTCAAAAGGGCCCCGCGGCCGGTCGCCGGACAACTTCGACAATTTCATAATAGACAAGATTCCTCCAAAGTTGCCGGCGCGCCTTAAACTTTACGTAAACCCACCCCAGCTCCGTCGTTGCTCTCCTGCAGCACCGCCGACGTACACATCTCGCCCGCTGCAGCGTATATAGCCCGACGCGCGGCGCGCGCTCGTACACACCCACGCACACCCACGCACTCACACACACAAACTCGTTATGACTTTACGGTACGATATACACACACGTACACGCACAAACATGCTGCTTGCAGTGCTGCGCGGCTCTGTTCGTGCATTCGGTAAATTTAAATCAGATTTAATTTATGTGGCAAATTACAAGATCCCCCCACCCTGTGCTTCGGTGGTCTTTCTCGCGGTGCAACTATATATATATATATATATATATATATATAGTGCATAGGTACTACTCCGCTGCTGTGTGTACAGCGTATTGCCGAACGAAGGCGTCGTACTAGAGACGACGACGACGACGACGACGGTGACTTTGGAAAACTTTACTGGAGGGTACATTCGTATACATAGGTTTATGACGTATACATAACATGTATATTTAGTACATTTAGTATACCTTATACCTGCCCGTATAGACTCGACAGGCATTTTACCATGAACGCAGTCACACATCTGATACGCGTATAACCGCGAAAACGGTATTAAACCATATTTGTACCGCTTAAGCTATATAGAACTGTTACTATACATATAGGTATGCATATATACACCCTACCCTGCAAATGTTATCGCAGATATTTGGGCGAAGACTATAATATCATAAGACATTATAATACAAGCACACGTAACTTTAATATTTAATAATTTTATAGGTACCTGCTACATCGCTATATATATTATTATTATTTTATACCTAGGTATATATTATACGTTTATATTTTTAGAAATAATAA